ATGGCCGGGCGCAGTCATTCCAGCATTTTGGGAGGCCGAGGCGGGTGGATCACTTGAGCCCAAGAGTTCGAGATCAACCTGGCTAACATGATGGAACTCTGCCTCTACTAGTTAAAAAAAAATATATATATATACGAAAATTAGCCAAGTGTGGTTGTCCCAGCTACTTAGGAGGCTGAGGCACGAAAATCGCTTGAACCCAGGAGGCAGAAGTTGCGGTAACCTGAGATCATGCCACTGCACTCCAGCCTGGGCGACAGAGCGAGACCCTGTCTCAAATAAAATAGCTTAAAAAAAAAAAAAAAAGGACCATGATTAGGGCCAAGCTTCTGCATCAGAAGAAGCCAAAGGCATTCTGACGAAAAGATGCTGTTTAGCCCCTAGAGGACTGCTTGAGAATTCAGCAGGAATGGGGGCCGGAGTGGGGGGAAGAACCCCTCTAGAACTCCTTCCCCTAAGCAGTCCAACATTATGCTGCCTTTATTAAAGACTTATTACTGGGCCTATCATACTCCATTTACAAAGTGACTCTCTCCCACAGGGCAGGGAGTTCTTGAAAGCAGGGACCTCCAATCACTATCTCCAACCCCAACGCCCAGCACAACCCCGCTGCACCATTTGCTAAACCCGTATACAGCCAGCCTGGGTCAGTGGAATCGGAGGACCCCAGGAGTCAGATGCAAAGGAGGCAGGGATCAGAGAGAAAAGTACCACGGAGGTACCAGGGAGGGGCAAAACCAAACTTAAAGGGCTAGGAGGTGCCAGGAACGGGCCAAGCTGGGGAGCACACCGGCGGCGGAGAGGAGGGAAGAAGGTGCGCTCCTGAGGGAGGGGCCGCTGCAGGGAGGAGACCAGGGCGGGCCCCGTGGAGACGCAGGCAGAGGATGGGGGGTCCCCAAAAAGGGCAGCGGAGGGGCGTGCGGAGGTTTTGGGGGAAGCCCGGAAAAGCCCGAGGAAGGTGGGGCCAGCGGACGAAAGGGGCGGAGAAGACGCGGAGACCTTGGGGGTCAGGACGGCGCGAAGAAGAGGCAGTTTTACCCCAGGTCGCCAATCCCACTCCCACCCGTAGTACTCAGCCGCTGCGGCTTTCCGGCGGACCTCAAAGCACTTACCCAGCCTAGCTCCCTCCGGATGCCTTTAGGCCAGCAGCTCCGGGCGCCGGAAGGAATCGAGCACTCACTTCGAGGAAAAGAAGTGGGTCAGCGCCCTGAGTGCTAAAGAGACAAGCCGCCGGACCCTGACTGCGCGGACCAATGAGGCGGCCTTCCTGCGTCGTGGCATACGCGCACTGTCCAATCAGAAGCCGCTGCTCCCGGCGGAGGGGAGGGGGAGAAGCTACGGGTCCTACCTCGGAACAAAACACCTCGACAACAACGCTTTCCTAATTGCTTTGTTTTGATCTGGACAACGAAAAAGTGAATTATATGAGCCAGCTTCGGGAAATAAGAAAAATGTATTCACTTCCCTTCAAAGTTTCCGAAGTCATCCCAAATATGTTTTTTATTGGTTCTTCATCGCCTCACGTCTATTAGACGGAAAAGTGACTCAGAGACTTTCAGTAATTTGCCCGAGAACACAAATCCCTCAAGTACAGAGCGTGGATTAAAGTTGTTAAAAAACAGTAGCAGCCAGGATGGGTGGCACATGCCCGTAGTACCAGCTACTCAGGAGGCGGGAGGATCGCTGAGCCCAGGACTTCGAGGTCAGCCTGGGCAACAGAGAAGGAACGTAATGTGAAATCCGGAATTGGCTCCTGGTATAGAAAAAGGACATGAGGCCGGGCGCGGTGGATCACGCCTGTAATCCCAGCAGATTGGGAGGCCGAGGCAGGCGGATCACCTGAGGTCAGGCGCTCAAGACCAGCCTGGCCAACGTGGTGAAACTCGGTCTCTACTAAAAAAAATACGAAAATTAACCGGGAGTGGTGGCACACGCCCGTAATCTCAGCTATTCAGGAGGCTGAGGCGGGAGAATCGTTTGAACCTGAGAGGCGGAGGTTGCAGTGAGCTGAGATCACGCCACTTCACTCCAGCCTGGGTGACAGAGTGAGATTCTGTCTCAAAAAAGAAAAAAAAAAAAGACATTAATGGGACATCTGACGAAATTTGAATAAGGTCTATTAACTCATATTAGTAGTATATCAATAATTTTAGTAATTATATAACCAGGACGGGCGCGGTGGCTCAAGCCTGTAATCCCAGCACTGTGGGAGGCCGAGGCGGGTGAATCACGAGGTCAAGAGATCGAGACCATCCTGGTCAACACGGTGAAACCCCGTCTCTACTAAAAATACAAAAAATTAGCTGGGCATGGTGGCGTGTGCCTGTAATCCCAGCTACTCGGGAGGCTGAGGCAGGAGAATTGCCTGAACCCGGGAGGCGGAGGTTGCGGTGAGCCGAGATCGCGCCATTGCACTCCAGCCTGGGTAACAAGAGCGAAACTCCGTCTCAAAAAATAAATAAATAAATAAATAATAAATAATTATACTACCATTATGTAAAATGTTAACCTTTGAAGATGCTATTTGATGAGTCTAGGGAAACACTATCTTATTTTCGCAATTTTGTTTTCTTTTTCCAGGTGAAGGCCATATTATGATATTTTGCAACTTTTTTTTCCTTTTCCTCAGATATACCTTGTCTGTTTTTGCAACTTACTTAGTTACTTACTATTTACCTATCTATCTAATTTATATTTATATATTTATTTATTTAGAGATGGAGTCTCCCTGTGTTGCCCAGGCTGGAGTGCAATGGCACAATCTTGGCTCACTGCAGTCCTGGCTTCCCAGGTTCAAGCATTCTCTGCCTCAGCCTCCCAAGTGGCTGAGATTACAGTTGCCTGCCACTAGCTGAGCTAATTTTTTGTATTTTTAGTAGAGGCAGGGTTTCACCATGTTGGCCAGGCTGGTCTTGAACTCCTGACCTCATGATCCACCACCTCGGTCTCCCAAAGTGCTGGGATTACAGGCTGCTCCCGGCCTGCAACTTTTTTAAAACTTAAAATGACTTCAAATTCTAAGCCCTTGTTAAAGTATCCAATACACAACCATGGAGTTGCTCATAGAAAGCTTAAAATTGAATCATAGAAAATATTCTAGAAAGATACACTGTTTAAAATAGGACTCTTAATTTGGGACAGGGGATCTTAATTTGTAGTTCTAGGACCACCTGAAATTGCAAATTTATGTATGTGCCTGTTTTTCAGAGAGACTGTTTGTTGAGGCTGTCAGAGGAGTCAAAAAATAGCACACACATACACACCCATTCAAGAGCATTGTATTAATAAGTCCGTTTTCACACTGCTATAAGTAACTGCCCGAGACTGGGTAATTTATATAAAGGAAAGAGATTTAATTGACTCACAGTTCATCATGACTAGAGAGGCCTTACAATCATGGTGGAAGATGAAGGGAAAGCAAGGCACCATCTTCATAAGGTGGCAGGAAGAAGTGCCTAAGGAAGGGGGAACAGCCTCTTGTAAAACCAGCAGATCTCCTGAAAATTCACTGTCATGAGAACAGCGTGGGGGAAACCACCCCCATGATTCAATTACCTGCACCTGGTGTCTCCCTTGACCCTGAGGGATTATGGGGATTCCAATTCAAGATGAGATTTGAGTGGGGACACAGCCTAACCATATCAGTTTATTTAAGGACTTTTTGTGGTTTTGTTTGCAGAGTGAATATCTTACCAGTCTTGTGTGAACAGCTGGCATATGTTTGGATCTGCTCTCAGTAATTTAGCCAGTACCCAGGCAAGAGTGCCTCTGCAGGGAGACTCTTATAAATATTTGTTAAATGAATGCTCGATAAATGCTTTGTTTTTCATTTTGACTCAAGTCTCCCTAAAGTAGGAATCTTCTTCAGCCATAGTGATTCCTCATCCTTCAAAGTTCACTTTAAATTTAGAGCTGTAATCCTCCAGGGGGACTTCACTCCTGCCCAACAATCCTGCATTCCCCTAGTAAGGTTACTCTGTCACTCTCTAAGAAAAGTAATTCATATCTCTTCTCTCACATGTTCAGCAGTCTCTCCTCTCCCCTGGCCTAACTAACCTTGATTCTTTTTTCATGTGAAAAATAAAAGCAATCAAAGGAAACTTGCACTTGATTCCACCCCAAAATGTACGAACTCCCCACCACCCCCTGCATGTTTACCTATTAAATGAATCACTGGATTCCGTTCCTCCAGCCTAGCAAGGGATTCTACTTGGGAAATTACCTCCTCTCCCTCTCTCTCTCACTCTCCTGCATTATCAGGTGTTCTTCTACAGCATATTAATATGCTTTCATAGTTTTTATCCTTAAAAAAATTATGGGATAGGCCGGGCGCGGTGGCTCAAGCCTGTAATCCCAGCACTTTGGGAGGCCGAGG